TCACAGAAGCAAAGCCCAAACCACACCCACTGCCGTGGAGTCCATTCTGACCCACAGCGCCCCTAGAGGACAGAGTGGAACTGCACCACAGGGTCTCCAAGGCTGTGGATCTTGCTGGAATCAGACTGCTGCACGTTTTCCTGTGAAGCGGCTGTGTCTTTGAACAGCTGGCCTTCCAGGTGGCAGCCAGACACTTAACCACTGCGCCACCAGGGCTCCTCCTTACGGGAAACAAAATAGTTCCCAAGGTGAAAGTAGTTCACAGTGGAAAAAACATGTTCTCCCGGGATCCTCCGCCTGCAAATGTCGCCTCATGTCTGCACTCGTCAGGATTACGCAAGTCAGGGGCAAAGTTTGCTCTAGGCCGTTCGCTAGCCTCAGGGAAGACTGTTGGTGGGGGGTGAGGGTGACTGGGGGCGTTCTTTAGTAGACTTCAGGGTGCAAAAAGTCTTTGTTTTTTCATTCAGATCAGTGAAGGGCGTACCTAATTGGATGGCGTCAAGGCACAGTGTCCCCGGGTTTCTCAGTGGGTGGCAGGAGGACTGTTCTGTGTGGCCCAACCCTTCACGACTGATCTCTGTGCTCTGCTCTCATGCTTACTGCCCGGTGAGGCTCCACCATGTCCTGTCCCTGATGATTTCTGTCCCCGCCTTGGGGCAGTGGTGGCTTCGTTTTAGAATCCTCAGCTGCCGTGCAGGAGATCAGGGCTGAGTTTCCACCAGTGCATCTCGCGGCCGCCACCACCCGTCTGTCAGCTCAGGCTTGGGTGGACCTTCCAGAGTAAGACAGACTAGGAAGAAAGACCTGGCAATCTGCTTCTGAAAATTAGCCAGTGAGAACCCTACAGATCCCAGCAGTGTGACCCCCAGCTGGCCCTGGGGATGGTGTGGGACGGGGCAGCGTTTTGGTCTGTGCTTGATGTTGTCGTGTGTCAGGGGCTGGTGGGACAACAGCTGCCGGCACCAAGCTCAGCTGCCTGTCACGGGGGCAGAGACTGTGGGCCTGCGCTTTGCAATGAAAGGACCTGAGCCCAGAGGCCACCGTTTGGGAACAGGTGGGAAGGCCAGGCTGATTGAGGCTGTCCCCCGCACAAGCTCGTGCCAATTCACGTTGCTTGGTTCTACAGTCAACGCCAATAGAAGCAGCAGTCAGGACATCAGACGATGTATAGTACTGGGCAAGTGGGCTGCAAAGGACCTCTTTCAAGTTCTTAAGAGCAAAGATGTCTCCTTGAGGACTAAGGTGTGCCTGACAAAAGCCATGGTATTTTCAGTCATCTCATATGCATGTGAGAGCTGGACGATGAATAAGGAAGACCGAAGAAGAGTTGATGCTTTTGAGTTGTGGTGCTGGCAGAGAATGCT